TATACCCCAGAAGTGATGATATGCGGAGGGTCGACAGTTTCCGATAGCGTGTCGCCATCGACCATTTCTTCGCAGACTCCCGCGTCGGCCCAGTGTTCCCGACTGGTTCTGAACGCAGCTGGTATAGCCGCTGGATGGCAGGTGGAGCGTATGCCACAGGCTAGGGTTATGCCAGAAATGGTTTTATTGCCAGATGGGAGAATCGTCATTGTGAATGGGGCACAAACCGGTGTTGCGGGGTATGGGAATGTATGCAACGAGCATCTAGGTTAGAATCCACCGACTTTTGCTAACAGAGAAATTTCACAGGTCGCCAATCGTGTTGGGCAAAGCAATGCCGATAACCCCGCATTTACTCCAGTCGTCTATGATCCATCTGCTGAAGCAGGTAGTCGGTTTTCATCTGCGGGAATTCCTACCACGAATATCGCTAGGATTTATCACTCGACTGCATCTTTGACACCCAATGGGACGATTATGCTTGGTAAAAAATATTTGGTCTTATGGTCTCTACATGATCTCATATGTCTATGCATTCTGCCAGCGGGTTCCAACCCAAACGACGATGTAACGACTACCAAGTATCCTACCGAATACAGGTGTCTATGTCGTATCAACTTAATGTTCAACTACTAATCATTCTTCTTAATAGGATGGAGTTCTATTCACCTCCTTACATGGCCAGACCTCGTCCAACCTATACTGGGCTACCTGCTGCAGTGAACTACGGCGAAGAATTCACTCTGAACGTTAATTTACCTTCATCCGCAACGAATGTCTCCGGTGCGCTTCATCCCTCCCTTCGTCTTCTCTAACCTTATATGGTACGCACTCAAGTGTCTTTGATGGACCTGGGTTTCGCCACACACGGGGTGCATATGGACCAGCGTCTGCTCAAGCTCGTCTCTTCCCTCTCGGATGGTGGTAAGGTTCTAACCGTCACGGGACCGCCCACAGCCAGACTATATCCACCTGGACCGGCTTACCTCTACGTTGTCACGGACGAGGGAGTACCGAGTTTTGGACACAAGACTATTATCGGGACTGGAGGCTCACCGCCGGTGGATGGGGATGCTGCGGCCAAGTGAGTCGTTAGAGTTTTATCCAGATGCTCCTGTTAACTAACCACATTCTTTGGCATTAATTAGTATGCTAAAGGCCTCCGTTGCGTCATTCGTAGCCCCTCCGCCGCCACCCACTGAAGGTGAAGGTAGCAATGTCGCCACTGCTGTAATTCCTGTATCAAGCTCTTAAGATACCTGCCCGAATTGCGTATATATACACGGAATCTCTCTATGTAGAGTATTAGCCAATGTGGCATCTATACTTCTCTTTGCCTATCGTCCGTACTAGTTTTTTTTCCCCATCATTCTTCGGAAACGGAGGATCAGGATTCCCTAACCCCGAACGCGAACGAGACCGTTCAAGCCTATAAGCTCCGATAGGATATCAATTAACACGCCCGCACGGACGAAAACTGGGTTCGACTCCCAGTCAGAGCATGATGCAGAACATCATCCTTTTTCCTTCCTAGGATTGCGTAAGGAGATCAGGAACGTCTATTAATATTAGACTCGTCAGATACACATGGCAGCGGACCAGCTAAATAAGTATGAGTGGGTTCAACTCCGTGATGATGACTACAATACGAGGAAGTGTACGAGGACGGATGATCTATGGTGAAGGCGGGTGCCAAGGTCCTGTTTCGTGAGGGCGATGTGGATGAGGACACAAAGGGAGACACCGAAACCACGGACCTGCCCTTCACTTCGCGTCCCACCCTCTTCTCATGGAACTCGCTAGATCATCGTCCGGTGTTCCTGTCGCACTCTGGACTGGAACTCTCCCTCTCTTCACGTAATGGCATATAACGGATTTAATTTGACGCGGCCCGAGATGCGCTAGCCATCCTCAACTGATATTGCCCCACTGACTGCAACGCCGGGTCCCGCCATCAAAGCATGCATCGAGTGTGGATGGTGTTTTGAGGATGGTAAGGTTAGAAGAAAGCAGGGAAGAGTAGTGCGTAATGACGTCAATCGTGTTGAGGCGAGTTCCCAAAATGGCAGTCGCGTCTCTTCCCTTCGCCTCGCAACCACATCGACATGATTTTGGCACTGGGATACCGTGCTATCAGAGAATACACTACCAAGCTCGCTTTCCCAAACTAGCAGTCGCGTCTCTTCCTTCTTTTCACCTCGCAACCAACACTACAAGACCAAGGAGAGACACGTTGGTGTTTGTGCCAAGAGGAAGGGTACAGTCAGTTGCGAAAGGACCTGCGCAAGGCCTGGACCCTGGAAAGCACTGATTCTGGAGGAGAGGCCATCGATGAATGCGAGAAGAGAAGGCTTTAACGTTGAGAGGGAGCAGGAGTTCGCCTTTCGAGCGCATATTCCTCCTTTGGCGTCTTGGGTCCGTGCAATTTTTCCGGGCTTGCTCTCATGAGGAACGGGAGATGATGCGGTCATTCTTGTATGGTGAATCGTAGCAAGCACCAGACTAGGAGGATTCTGACAGGACACGCAAAGTATGTGCGTTTAACTCGACGGTGAGCGCTAGCCCGACTCATTTACTGCCAGTAGGATGGCTGGCCAGAGAATAGATGGCTAGCGAGAAGGAAAAGCCAAGGAACCCCGTCGACTTGATGGTTCCTGCCTGCTAGACGATACGCCGAAGCGATGTTGATGATTTCACGAGCCAGGTTCAATGAAAGGACGGGGGTCTGTGCTCGAGGGTGGGAGGAAGAATCACGCGGGACGGCTGATATGTCCTCGAGACAAAGGGTGGTCCTCTCCAGTGTTGTCAAGTCCGGATCGTTCGCGCCATGACGCGGACGGTCGTCCAAGGCCACGGTGTTTTCAGCGTCTCCCTTTCCATATCGTGTTGGACCATGCGCTCATGAGGAACTGTTCACCACCCCTCTCTCCTTCACACCGCCCTCTGTTACCGCTTCCTCCCTCGACTCACCCTCACGATAAATGACCTCACCCCCGATAACACCCACCTCGTCCTTCTCTTGCCGAGACCTACGCATCGGGATCGTCCATTCCACGCTTGGGCAATCTAGCTGGCGAAACACGCCCTTTCTCGCGTTGACATTGGGGGGCCCAAAAGAGTATTCATGTTGATACCTTGACGACGCGTCTTAAGTGGGAGTCGAAGTGCACCAGCTAGGGGAAGGGTACGTGTGTTTGACTCGGCAGTCTGAAGAGAGCACTGATGTGTGCACCAGCCCGACTCGATGCAAAGGATGGCTGACGTCACCGCCAACGATGGTCCAGTGCCGTGTTCCCAAATCGAGATGAGGATTGGCATCCTATGGACGTGGAGGGAGGACGCTTGTTTCTGTGTGCGCGGGTCTCTAGGTCACTACCTGTCATCTCTCCGGTGAGCTTATTCTGACTTTTATCCAGTATCAGCTTCGGGCACACGAGGAGATTATGATAGTCCATAAAAAGGCCGACGCTGCGCGTTCAAGGAAGCAAAGTGTACCGTTTTCCTGCATGACTGGATAGTGGAAAGAAGTGATCAGCAGAGTTTTTCTCGTGTGTGCTATCCCAATGGCAATTCACCAGCGATGAGGATCCTCTTCTTGCTCGCACTCGCGAATAATAGTCTTGCGCTCGTTTAGCCGGCCGTATTCCGAACCATCCCGCTGGGCAATCGAGCACTGGCAGGATCGCGGTCTTTCCAAGAGGCATACCAATACCAAGCACGAGTCGGAGGGGGGTGGGAAGTGCATGAGAGGACCGGTCACCGGTCATACATAGAGAGAGGGTGTATGCCTTGACAGTGGAGTCCTGGCATCACAATTGAGCTCAAGGTTTTACATCCGGCCTGGTGAGTCGAGTAAAGGATTAGTGAGCAAGTGTTAGTTTACCGATGCCGACTAACGGCCAACGAGGGAGTTTACATCCGAATCCCCTGCTCCATGTCTTCGAATGCGAGGATTGGGAATGATGTTGGTCCGGCCAACGGGGTCGAGGACGAAGACATGCTTGCTTTGGTCAGTGCAGGTCGTCTTTCCTTTGTGAACCTATTCCGACCTTTTTTTTCGCTATCAGGGATGGGTTCTCGCACAACGCCGCGTGGAGAGATGTACGGTAGAGTAATCGCCTACCAGAAAGGCCGCGGTGTGCTAATTTACGTGGTACCGTTTCTCCGTGTTGATATCATTTTACGAGTGGTCGTATGACTTATCCCGCAATGAAAAAGTCGGGACTCAGCACATCTTACTATCGTATTCTCTGACTGGAGGTGGAACCATCAGAGTGATGTTGGGAGAAATCCTGATAGGTCTCCTCTAGCCTTATTCCACAGAAAGAGGGGGAAAAACATATGGAAGAGAACTCACGTCATTGTCTTTCACCGAGAATCGAACCCGGACCGAAGCTGTATAGTGGGCACTCCAAGTTGAGACACGAGTTGCGAGTACTAGGGAAAGGGTAAAAGGTACGTGCATTAGACTCGGCAGGCACTAATGTGTGCACCAGTCCGACTCACTTTACTGATGGCTTCGCGTGAGGTGCGCATAAATCGAGGTGAGATTCGGTACAGTGGACATGGACTCGGGGGATAGGATGCTTCTTCTGTCTGTGTGCATGGGTATTTAGGTCAGTGTCCTTCATCGCTCCGGTGCCAGGTGGGGTTGTGCTGACTTTTAAACGGTATCAGCACGAGGAGAGTTATGATAGTCCGTACAAAGGCGTTCGATGAGGCAAAGCACACTATTTCCCTGTTTTCCTTGCACGACTAGGTACAGTACCATAATGGAATGTAGAAGCTTGAGTCAGGCGATATGCCTCCTTTACCTATGTCTCTCTCTTTCTCTCAGGGCCCTGACTCCACGCATTCACGCTTTATTCAAGATCCATAGATTTGGAGACGGCTGGCTCTGAGAGCGTCCAATGGAATTCTGACTAACAGACGTTATCAAAGTAGAAGTTTTTTCTTATGAGGCACCATATATATGGATCGCACAATGGGCATGTGGTGCAGGTACGAGAGGGTTCGATTCCCTACCGGAGAATTGCTGGAGACTCAGATACCTGGTATAGATCAAAGGCCGAGGTTTCGTTTACTTCACGCTGGTTCGTGGTCTAGTCAACGTAGGCACTGCCCTGTTTTCGCCACTACTAGTGCTTGGAGCGAAATACCGACGGGAAAATCATCCGTACGGAATCCGAGGCTTATGAAGAACGAGCTGGACACGAGTTTGGGACCGTAGCAAGCGGATGGTGAGGAGGGGAATAAGCTTTTAACATTGTCCCACTACGATAGATCGTCCTATTGTAGACTATTGTCCTTGCTTGCAGGTTCTAAATTATCTATTGCAAAGCTAAGGCGCTGGGACTGATGCTTAGCGGTTAAACCGATTCTAACTCGATCCTCATGGATATAACGATAGACTAGCAGTCCATTTGTCAATTGTCGTTGAGTGAGTTTGCGGCCCACGTACCATCTCCGTTTCCCTGCTGCACTCGCATCCAGATGTAGATCCCGGCTGAGATTCACCTTTCGGTTCCAGGAACTCGGAACTCTGGATCTTTCGGAGCTCCTTTCGTGCATTGAGCCTAGACACTCGAGTAAGTCACCACAGAGTTCACGGATGATAGCGTTTGGTACACACATCGCTAACAAAGAGTTGGTAAACACTGTGAATAAGCAAATGAGTCAGAATCCATGGATCTACGATGAAGGACTGACATCTGGGCTTTATACTATCGATCGCAATGAATATGAGTGTATTTGGCCAAACAAGAAACTGCGTCAATCATGAACTTGAAATCAGATAGCACATAACGGTTGGCATACTGTTATAAGAGTGGCTATAGAGCACATGCTGCACACCACGATAAACCGGTTGAAAAGGTACATAGGTCAACTCTCACCTCGTAACCAACCCGGATATCAGGATCAGCCGCATCAGCGCAACCAACGTCGTAATAGTACTGAGTTTACATGATGTCAATGATGTGACCCAGGGATAGAACATGTCGAATTACGGACTTGGGGAACATTGAAGCAGCCCTGCTTCTGTTCAGATAATAACACATCGTGATGGATATGATAAAATCAACTGCCGTGCTCGTCGAGACCACCGCGATGATTTCATTCTATTTTCAAGTGAGATACAGAATAGAAGAGGAATCTAATGCATGCTCACTTTGATAGTAGAAATGTCGGAGAAGTTGGAAACACTGTAGCTGTTGGAAGTGTCTTGGATTATCGATGATAATGCAGTGTAATCACAAAATCTTACTCTCCGTAAACTAGATCTGATGAGAAGAGGGACATGAAGCGTAATGGTCAACAAGAGCAGTACAAACTTACATATTCCGGCGCCTATGGAAGTGAAGGGTAAATCATAAAGGCAGAAACTCAGCAACCGCCACCAACTGGAAGGCATCCGAGGTTCACATACCGACATTACAAGCTGTGATGATGGCCTACAAGGGAAATACGGTTGAATAGAATACGCAATAATCAGTGGGACGAGCTTACAAGAAACCAGGGTATGACTCGACTGAGATGAAAATGTTGTCGGACTGGCCATCAGCACCTGAGTGTTAGCGAAGAGCCAAAGCGAAGAGCCAATGAGCGACCTTTCCACAGCCGTATGGTATATATACTGCCCAAAGATGAGTTTTCATGAGGCAGCCAAAGCTTAGGAAGTAACGCACACTTGGACCGCTATTTTGATCAAAGTCTAAACAGCATGTGAATCTAGTTTTGTCTACGAGTTTAAGATCAGGGGATACGCACTCCAAGAAGAACGTGCAACTGCCCAGGTCAACGAGACATTAACTGCCATAGCCATAACCAGAAAATCATGATACAAACCTTGCAGCTCCTGTCATACCAGATAAAGTTAGGGAAACGATACAGCGAATATTGAAATGTACCAAATGATATTAAGTTGATCCAAAGCTAGGAACTTGCCCACTATCCGAGTCTCGATGAGAAGGAAATACAACGCGTGAGTGCTAACCGCGGCATCTAGTGTATCCAGGACACTGTATGTAGTTATCAGAGGTCTTGTTCAACTCATGAGTCGGAACTGCTCACCAAATGACTGCCACCTGTTCGATAACACCTCAAGCTCAACCGGGAGAATAAAAGTATATGCAACACGCACAACGAGTCGATAGAGCCACCAGTCATTTGGGTATTGCTTGAAATACCAGATGGACTGGAGATTTAATATACCGAATAGACTGCGCATCATGGTTCGATGTCAGTTAGCTGCGGACAGACAGGCTTGGAGCTTACACGGCAGAAAGGATGGCTCCGATGAGAATTACCCCGAACGTCGCACCGAGTAGCGGGATTGGTACAGGAGTCAGATCCATATGGAAAGAGGGGAATAGAGTAAGAAAGAAAGAAAAAGGCTGCTGTTGAAGTAGCAGGGCACGTATATGGGATTTAAATGTACTTGTTGATCATAACCTGAAGGTGCAATACAGAACAGATGTTGCGGATCATAGATCTTTCCCATCATCACTTGTTGAGACTCGAGGATAGGCCTCGGTAAGGTTCAGGCTCGGTTGCGGGATCGCAAAGAAGCGGATATCTCCCAGTGAGCTGGTCCGAATGGTTGTATTGAGGTTCGGGAAGATCAGATTGTGAGCTGCGTGTTCCTGATGAAAAATTCCAGCAGAGAAGGCAATATTCGGGAGTGCATCTTTGGGCAACGAAATGCTATCTTCTGCTCCACCTATTCACTACTGAGAGATATTGGTTTGATTTCAGTACAACAATGAGCCAACGGGTAATAGTGACACGTTACTTCAACTGGTTCGCACTTTGTCCTTCAGTTGCTCTCACGTATCAATGAAAGTCATCCTTTAAAGAAGGAACGCTCAGCAGTTTAAACATTATTTCATCCAAAGCACAATTCTACGTTGATAAATTAAACTAAGGTGATTGATGTACTGGGATGAAACTCAGGTACACATTTGATAGAAGAGAACATGCGATAACACACTGACCTCTAGCCTCTCTCCTCTTCTCGGTCGCACGGTTTGAGATCCCGGCACAGAAACAGCCGGCGCTTGTTTATAGACGACCAGTGTGAGCATGCATGCACATCGAAACGGGGAGTTGCATACCCGAAGTCATTTCTGGCGCTTATTTCACTTCATGACAACGAGCAACGAGCATGTCACACTCTCCTCCATCCCAGGTGAGTATCATGCGCATCTAATGGTTTGGTGTAGGGTTGATTCAAAATACTAGTTACCGAGGAGCACAGCTCGGCAGGGTGATTGATTTCCTCTGCGCCACCGTAACGGGTGCTACGAACAAATATTCGCTGCTCGATCTTATGGCGAGCTTTGCCGAATTCCAAGACAGAATAGGGTCAAGGAGCTTTGACGGGAGAATGGAAAAACGGGAATGAACGTGGAAGAGAACGACCAAGGGTCATCAATCTTGGAGCCGTTCATCCTTCCCTTTGAGAAGTATCAAAGACAAAAACAAAACACGTGTGAGGGATCAGGGATATTGAGTGAAAACTATGTCTGGCATGTCCGTGAACCAGTAAGGAAGATCAAGGAGACGAGGAGAATCGTGGAGTGGGCATCAGGTGGTGTACTGTTCCTCCCCATTGAGGTGTATTCCACCTAGATGATCATCAGGGAAAAGATTGATCACACCGGGACTCAGGAGACATTTTAAATTAGACAAAGACGCCAATATGCGGGCTAAAGCTTTGTAACCATGTCAGTAGCTGGCGTCGACAGTCCAGTGCTTGGCAGTGCTTTGCAACTTAGGATCCAGGATAAGGCGCTGAGAGAGAACCACGTTGGATCTGTACAGACACTGCGCAATGTCACATAGTGATCTAAACAAGAGGATCAGATATTACAAATCTGCGAGAGCAACCATAGATGATCGTTCCAGAGAACAGAACACATACCGCTCCCTCCCCGAACATGTGGTACTCTTCTTCATTACAACTCCACCTAGCGATTCGATGTACAGCTGGTGCACAACAACCGATTTCTTCAACGTTTTCCGCTTCAGCAGGCGAAAAATCCTGAACCAATCTTCCCTACTCGTCGGAAGCGACTCTTTTCAAAGATAACCATCGAGCTGGCAGTAACGAAAGGCAGAGAACAATTCACCCGCTATCTAGGGCCAGAAACGAACAGGCAGAACTGCGAGAAAAGCCGCCATTCCAAGAGCCCCCACTCAACTTCGGGGAATTATTTCCTCTGCCGAATCGGAAGTTGAAAAGCGAGATTCGGGTCATTAGGATTTGACCGTATCTCGAGCTGTTTGGAAAAGACGATTCATGGATGAGTGCTTTGGCTATACATATTTTTAAGTCTTTTCTTGGAACTCAATTAGATGTGCTTTACCTTAAAAGATCATACTACGAAGTCCATGTATATGCAAAGAACAGGTGTCGTTAGCATCATCCCTTCCCTACAATGCCCGTTGTGAGATGAAACGGGCACGTCTTGAGCTCGCACACGTATACGCCTCTCCATCCGAGATCAGAACGGAGTAACGTGTCCCCGAGGATGGTGATTCGGCAGTTTGATTGACAAGGTTACAGTTGTGGTCGAAATCAACGATGTTAGTCTAGAGTGGTGGGAGGAAGTTGAAGACAACTCAGAAGATAGCAACCGCATATCCGCCGCAACACGAGAGCGTACCCAAAAGGACCCACATGCACGACATGCTCACAGCGGTTAATCAAAAGCACAATCCAAAAAAAAAATCTACTACTTTGGTTCCTGATAGTGCATCGGTTAGTATGTGTAATCGCTGTAAGCAGTGTAGTTGGGTTCGACTCCCGGCGAGAGCGTTATTATCAAGTGATTGTGATTTTGTTTTGATCTTCTTTTTCAATATTTAACTCTTGACCGTTAATTTCCAGCCAGTAGATGAGCCTTACAATCGTTTTAACATCATTTATTCTTGTTAATTATGCACGTAGAGAGAGGGGGAACCGTCCGGAAATTGTACTTTGAAGGGAAAGACTTGCGTTGCGTGAGAAAGAGAGATATGACCTATAATATGGAGTGTGTTGCTTTCCCATACGTGTTTCGACTTGGAGTACCCATCACAGACTTTACGTTCGGGTTCAACTCCTGATGGGAGATAATGAAGATAGAGAAAAGTGTGCCTGATTTTTCCCTCATTCTCCGGAGCTAGTGCTTCCTACTATCGTGGTTATAATGTACAAAAATTATCTGCATACAGGTACTACAGGAGGTCAGCTAAAACAGGTACCTGTTTGACACGCACCTAGTAGTTTCTCTGTCTCCAGGTACTTTCATACATCCTTATAGGTGTACCTGCATCTACTAGTACTTGTTGCTGTACTGTAACAGGCTGTTCGCAAGTACTTTTTGAGAATGTCCGCGTTGGATCCGCAAAGATCCAGGCATCGCCAAGACACTGAACCTGCCACTGATGGTGCATTCACACCAAGCCTCGAGCTTGTATGGATAATATAAGTCCATGCCAATGCAGTAACAGCCTCGGAATATATAATAATCAATGAATAGACGAAAATGTTTTAGCAAAATAGAAAAGAACTCTACAAACCTCGGAATTTCGCTTCCAGTCAACTTCCAGTACAAAGCAGACCCAAAATCGAGGCGTGGTCACAGAATTCTACATGGAACCTCGGTGCAAAAAATCAGCAGTAGTGGAATTGAGAGACACGTGTCGCTGGTCGTTAGCAAACAGGGAAGTGGCTGTGCGAACCCAACCCTAGGAAACCACCTGATGGTGAACAAGTGCCTGCATCGAAAGTAGTGCTGGGAACCATCAAAAGTAGTGGTGTCCTCCCTACAGAACGAAAGAATTTTTGTACAGTATAACACCCATACTTCCTGCCATCCATTTGTTTCCTCTTGCAACCACTTTGCAAGTTGCAAATAGGCAGGACACCGCCGAAGAAGACCTATCCAATATCACGAAGCCTCCCAATACCACTCTGATAGAGCACTCGTTAATGCGTGCAGCGCCTGGGTTCAATCCCCAGTCAGAGAATAGTATATGGTAAATTGAGGTTTTTTTTTTTTGCCTTGCGGATGAGTCCTACAATGGTTTAAAATTTCTCATCCATCCGCAAAATGGTATCAACACCATGTATCGAATTAGGACCGCCTGTCTCAGTAGGTAAATCACCCGAAGAGTCGGAGTAAACTATGACGATAAAGCTATTACTATGATTCTTCTTCTCGTGCGCAAATCTCCACGCGATGAGAGCGTAGTGGTGTACGAGAACCCAACCTGATTGCAAAGAAGGTTAGCAAGTCGCCAAAGAGAGGCGAAGCGCACTGACCCAAGTATGTCTCTATTCCAGTTTGTATTGAGGCTTGACTATCGACCCGACCAACACAACCGCCAGGCCCGGGTGTACACTATTCTGCGGGACTGAATCAGTGACTCTGGTAGTAGCTAGCATTTGCTTGTTAGTCCTCTCTTCGAACTAACAAATCTGCACAGATGCCCCACGCCACGATTCCGCCATTTTCTTCCACCAGGAGGACAAGGCTGGTCTGGACGGACAGTACAGAGATAGTGTCATTTCCCGCATGGAAAGATCCCGATGAACGGTAGCCAACACGAAGATGAGAACAATCCGTTCTCTTCTCCAACGACTTGTAAATCACGCTATGGACGAGCACGAGAACGCGTGTTATTAGGAGCGAACGGATTCCGTATGTTCGAAGAACCGTAAACCGGATACAGGTCGTCCAACTGCTCACGCTATCATGAAGATGAATCGATGTATAGAGAGTTTTGAGGATGGTAGGGTTAGGAAAAAGTGAGGGAGGCGGAGGAAAGAGGTGAGTTCCCAAAATGGCAGTCGCGTCTCTTTCACCTGGTTTTGGCACCGACGTTCCGAACAGGATACCCGAAAGGAACGAACTAGTGTCTGTGCCAGGAAAAGGCGCCTGATCGCAAAAACCTTGCCTACCCCCGAACCAACATGATGCGAACGAAATTCGTGAAGCCTATAAGCTCCAATAGGACACCAATTAACACGCCCACACGGGGTTCGACTCCCAGTCAGAGCATGATCCAGAATATGTGACATTTTCCTTCCTGCCAGGTCTAAACTTGTGGGACGTGCGGTAGGGAGACACAGGGAATCAAGGCCATGCTTTCAAGGGACAACTATTAATATTAGGACTCATTCTCGAGCCAAGTCAGATGTACACACCTCATTTATGCGCGAGTGAGTTCGACTCCCACTTGGGATGTGCCAAATGCGAGGACGACCATGCTTAGGGCGAGGAGTGTACGATCCTGACGAGTGGGTCTCGGAAATAAAAGTAGTGAAAGATGAGTGTTATGGGGGTGAGCCACAGCGACGGAGAGC